AAAAAAAAAAAAAAAAAAAAAAAAACCGAAAAAAACAGAAAAACAAGAACCGAAGGCAAAATAAGGAAAAATCAAAAAAGCAGCTGGCATAATATTATGAGTTATGCCGGGCCGTAGGCGTGGCTCGATTTGTAACCTCGTTTAAGAGGTGAGGAGGCGGAGGCTGTGGCGGTGGCGAGGCGTGGCTATGGCGCTGACCATGGAACCAACATTAAAATTCATGAACACATTTATTGCCAATTACCACAGGGCCTGCGGCACGTTTTATATAGAGAGCAGAAGCTAACAGGAGTTCTGTCTCTCCCACACACACACATACACACTCGTCCTCTGCACTTGCAACACGCTCTCTGTCCAATTCTCTGATTTGGCAGCAAATGTTGCGGCCGATTCAAGGTTTTTTTTCTTGTTTTTCTCTCTTTTGACCATTTTGTTGCCTTTATTCGATTTTGCGCTGGCTCGTCGGCATCGCTTTTTTTTCCTCTTTTTTTGCACACACAAATTGATAAATTAGATTTACGCTCGAGAAATTATATTACAATATAATATATTTTCAGCCTGTAGATTTGTGTTTTGTTATTGTATTTGGCCGCCCAGCGCCGCTTTTGCCTTTCTTTAATGGCCAAGCGATTTTAAAGCGAATATTTCAGTATTGCAGTTTCCTTGTTTTGTTTTTTATATTTATGTTTTCACGGCGTGCTCTGGCTGTATGAGTGGTTGGCTCAGTTACAAGCGCAAAAAAAAAAAAAAATTATTGCTCAATTATGCGCAGACATTAAATGGTGTGCAATTTATTATAAAAAATATATATATGTATCCCAAAATAAACTTTATGCTGATTGGGCGAATTGGTTGGAAATTGCATGAAAAACTATTTAAATTTAAAAGGTTGCGAGTTAAAGTTCTTCAAATGTCATTTGGGTGGATAATAAAGGTGAGATAAGGGTGAGTGCTTTAACGTAAAAATAATAGTAATATATATAATAGCTTATAACCATGTAAATGCAATTAATATAACAATATTATAGCAATATAAATAATACTATTTAGTATTAAATTTTTTTTTTTTAAATTTTAAAAATCATAATAATAATTTATTTATTCAAACTATAGTATAGAATAATAATATGTCATTAAAAGCCTTTCCTTCCATATGTATTTATAGTTGTACCAAACTTCAATAACTAATATTAAACGACATCGTTGCTAATTAAATTTATGTATTTATTTGTATTATTATTATTTTTTTAATATAAAGAGTAAATTTTTAGTAACTATTGCAGATCATACAAAATACTGAACAATGTCAAATATAAACTATATTCTGATTTGCGTTCCATCTGCAATTTAATGTCTTGTTTTTTGACATCTCATTTGGGATGAAGAAGAAAATGTGTTCATCCTTCAATACCATAGCAAATACTAACAACAAAAGAACCAAATTACTTGTAAGAATGTATATGCAGAAATTTAAGTGAAGCCAAAGTCATTAAAACTTTTGTATGTAACTCCTGCCTTCATCAAATTCAATTTATACATACATCATAAAATCTCTGGAAACTCCAAGCAGAACTCAGCAGCTCTTCAAATGCTATCCAGTTTCCATTCAAAATTACATTGTTTAAATCGACAATTAACTGGTTTCACCCACATACACACACACACACACAATCAAGTTGCTTAGCTGCTGTTCAGGCAGTAGCCGTTTGAGCTCTTGCAACATGCAGTTGACGCTTGGCCAGCAGAGTTGCAGCTTGTTGCAAGTATTTGAGCAGCTTTGTGGCATTTGCAATTCAATTAAAGTAAGGCAGAAAGAAGACCAAAGTCAGTCGACTGAGAGATGTGAAGAAGTGAATGTTGCTGTTGCTGTTCGCCTGGGCCGAGGCATGGCCATTGTGAATGGATGCACTGGCGTGAAGCGTTAAAAATGCAATCAAAAGACAACAAAGGATGACGACGACCGTGACCAGCGGTGCTGTAGGTAGGAAATACATATAAGCCAGGCAAGGCACGGCAAGGCGAGGCAAGTG